CAAGCAGCACAGACACTGAGAGAAACAATTAATAAATGGGACCTCCAGAATCTGAAAAACTTTTTTAAAGCAAAGGACATGGCCAATAATACAAAACGACAGTCTACAGAATGGGAAAAGATCTTCACTAATCCCACATCAGACAGAGGTCTGATCTCCAAAATATAAAAAGAACTCAAGAAATTGGACACCAAAGAACACATAATCCAATAAAAAAAATGGAGTACAAACCTAAACAAATAACTCTCAACAGAGGAATCTAAAATGGTTAAAAGACACTTAAGGAAATGTTCAACATCCTTAGTCATCAAAGAAATCCTAATCAAAACAACTCTGAGATTTCATCCTACGCCTGAAAGAATGGCCACGATCAAAAACACTGATGACAACTTATGCTGGAGAGGTTGTGGGGAAAAGGGAATTCTTCATTGCTGGTGGGAATGCAAGCTGGTACAACCCCTTTGGATGTCAGTATGATGATTTCTTAGAAAATTAGGGAAACAACCTTCCTCAAGACCCAGTAATACCACTTTTGGGTATATATCCAAAGGATGCTCAATCATGCCACAAGGGCATGTGCTCAACTATGTTCATAACAGCTTTGTTTGTCATAGCCAGAACCTGGAAACAGCCTAAATGCCCCTCGACTGAAAAATGAATGAGGAAAATGTGGTACATTTACACAATGGAGTTCTACACAGCAGAAAAAATAATGACAGCTTGAATTTTGAAGGAAAATGGATGGAGCTAGAAAACATTATTTTGAGTGAGGTAATCCAGACACAGAAAAATAATTATCACATGTACTCACTCATAGGTGGTTTTTAAACATAAGCAAAGAAAACTAGCCTACAAACCACCATCCCAGAGAACCCTGACAACAATGAGGACACTAAGAGAGAAGTAGAAAGTAGAAAAAGACAAGATCTCCTGAGTAAGTTGGGACCATGGGGATGTTGGGGGAGGGGAGCAGAGAAAATGTAGAGCTCAATAAATATCAATAAAAAATAAATAAATTTATAAAAAGAACGAGAAGAGCGGCAGGGAGCTGAGAGCTGCTGCACAGCTAATGTGTTCAGGGCAGGGGCAGGAGGGTCAGTGGACGCATTTGAAGCATGAATGACAAACTCCCCCTCCCCCAAGTTGGATGAAGAATTCTGACTCAAGAGTTCATCAAACATAAAAATGTAAAGTTATTCTTTAGCACATAGAAGTCAAATAGGAAAAGAAGAAATTAAAAAACCTTTAAACTTTAAAAACCATCAAAATAATAATAATCCAATGGTTCAATTGCATATTAAAAAAAGAATGACCACCTATTTTTCATCAGAAACAATCCAAACTAGAAGACAAAGGAGTAACATCTTAGAATATATCTTTGAGAGCCTGCTATGTGTCAGGTACTGTTTAGTGCTGGATGTCAGCAGTGAACACAATAAAGAAGGACAGTATTGCACTCACATGAAACCAGGGGTGATGGGTTCTTCATGACTCATCTTCATTTCATCTGTCCTCAGTGTACAGTCTGGTTGTTTGCAAATGCTTGAACAAACATGGTTCTTCTTCCCTTCTCCCATCTGGTCTTTAACTTTTTGCACATAAGTGGTTCCTCATGGTGAAACACATGCAGCAGGAGAGACACATGTGTCTTTATGGTGTGGGACCTTTGGACTATAGGGGACACCTCATGATGAACTTTACCCCATTTCTAATTATCTTTTTGGATTTGTGGCCTCTTGAGTTATTTTTGGCAAGATCTGAGCTCTGGTGTAGTTCACTGATCTCCCGTTCATAGATTTGTTTTTCAGGACTCATAGCAATAAAAATGGATATAAGATGGTTAGATCTTGTGTTTAGGAGATGCATCATTATCAAACACCCTTGCCTTTAACCTGCCTCATTCTTCTAATTGTTTTACTTTCAATTTTCTTCACTTATCCAGACACGTGCCTCATGTATGTATACATGTTTGATGTGGGATTCCCCTCTGTATGCTGTGAATACCATTGGTTGATAAACTGCTTTGAGCCTATAGCAGAGCAGGGCAGAACAGAGCTAGGTGGGGAAAACTAAACTGAATGCTGGGAGAAAAAAGGCAGAGTCGGGGAGCAGCCAGAGCAGACATGCCAAAACTTTGCCTGTAAGCCACACCACGTGCAATACACAGATTAATGGAGATGGGTTAGTTTAGGATATAAGAATTAGCCAGAAATATGCTTAAACTATTGGCCAAACAGTATTGCAAATAATATAATTTCTCTGTGGTAATTTTGGGAGTCTGGGCAGCTGAGAACACACAAGTGGACTCCTACAACACATGTTGCCTTGCACATGTGACCCGTGAAAGAAGCCCTTTCCAAGGACAGTGGAAAGAGTCTGACCAGCTGCTGTCCCCCCCCCCTGCCTTGCTCAGTCAGTCTGGAGAACCCCTGACTGAACTTCTGCTAGTCTGGTGCTTCTGCTAGTCTGGTGGCCTTTTGCTTAAAGGAGATTGTTGACCCTTTGTCTTGGGCTTTCTGAGCCCTTCATAAGTACACACTCTGTCTTGTTAAATCACAGAACAAAGTCGCTTCACTTAGCCTGTGGCCTGAGTTGACTTCCAGGTCACAGATCACGTGGTTCTCTCTTGGATACTAATAGTTAAGTTATTTAAGACTGAGCAGGTACATGATTTTTGAACTGGTGTGGTGTGATCTTTTCTATTTGCCACAGTCCCTCTGCATTGGACTTGTCACCTCTTCTGGAAACACAGCTCCTTCACACTCATATTCTCACTGTGTATTCTCGAGTTTACTTAATAGGTGTCAAGAATTTCACTAAATGATGCGGAATTACCATGGCTATTATTATGAACTTGACTTTGTTTCTTTCTTTTGAGACAGGATCTCACTATGTAGGCCTGACTGGCTTGGAGCTTACTATGTAGACCAGGCTTGACCTTAAACTCATAGAGATTTGATCTTTCCTGCCTTTGCCTTCCAAGTGCTGGGACCAAATCCATGTGCCAGCTTCTGGTCTTTGATAACCTAGGATATTAAAAACAAGGGATTTCAAGGGGGACACTAAACATGAGAGAAGAAAACTCAAAGTAGCAATTCCTCCACACAGGGCTTCTCTAGCAAGGAAACAAAGGAAGAAGAAAGAACAAAAGAGAGTGAAAGGTCACACTCCTGCTCAAGCGTGGGGAGCCTCCTTTCTCTGCCCCTTTCGCCACCCAGCTTTTCCTTCACACCTACTTACACTTCTGTTATTGCTCCCCATGGCTGTCTGCTCAACCTTAGCACAATAATTCCTGAAACTCTTTTGCCAGATGATGAATCCAGTGAGACTGGATTTTAAAAACCAGGTAAGAGTTGACAGAGTGCAAATATTTAGATTCTTCTCGAATTTTAGAGCAGTAGAAAGTGATTGCACCTAATTCAGGCTTTGGTCAGCCTCTTGCTGCCAGAGAATTTCATATCCTGATATAGTGATTGAATACTTGACCATCAATGATGAAGAAAAGGTATTTAAAAACAGGGTGGAAAAGACCAAGATTTCTAATTAACCAATTTTGTATAATTAAAAGCAAAAAAGACTTGAGAAACCTCTTTGAAAGTCTCTCTTGAGGACACCGGCTCAGAGTCGCTAATGAAATGAAAATGGGTCAATGTGAAGCACTTTTCAGGACTATTCTGGGGCAACCAAGTGTTTTACAAATATATACATATCTATCTATACATACATACGTACAAAAATAAAAATGGCTAAGATCTAAGATAGATGTGATGGTTTGAATAGGAATGGTCTCCAGAGGCTTATAAATCTGAATTGTTAGTCACTAGGGAGTGGCACTATTAGAAGGCATGGCCTTGTTGAAGTAGGTGTGGCCTTGTTGGAGTAGCTGTGCCCTTGTTAGAGGAGGTAACTTGTTGGAGTAGCTGTGCCTTGTTAGAGTAGCTGTGCCTTGTCACTAGGGGTGGGCTTTGAAGTCTTAGTCGTTCAAGTCCGGCTCAGGGTCACTTTCTGCTGGTTGTGGTGTTCAGGGTCCTGCTGGTTGTGGATCCAGATATAGAACTCTCAACTACCTCTGCAACACCATGTCTGCCTGTGTGCTGCCATGCTCCCCACCGTGAAGATAATGGACTAAACCCCTGAAACAGAAGTCAGCCCTAATTAAATGATTTCTTTGATAAAAGGTGTTGTGGTCATGGTCTTTTCATAGCAATAGAACACGGACTAAGAGGGAGTGCAGGGAAAAATAAATCAGAATGAGAAGCATCACCATAGACACCTGCTTGTTTTCTAAGAGCCCTTAAAATGAATGACTCCTGAAATTAAAACACTTGCTCTATAAGAATCTGGCGTCTGTTGGTAAAGGAGTTACTAGTAACAAACGTCTATTGGAAGAGCCAGTGCAGTGCCAGAGGTGGTGGTGGCTTTCCAAGTCCGCCCAGCAGTGGGAGTGCGCTCCTACCTGTCCGCAATCTAATAGTCTTGCGCAATGGACGGGGAGTAGAAGTGCTTACTTGTGGACGAGGCACAAAAGCTCTTAGGTTGGGCACCAGTCTTTTCAAGGCTGTCACGGGTTAATTGTTCTGGGCACCAAATACTTAGGCGATTCTAAGTGGCTGACTCCCCAGTATGTCTAGCGGGCCGTGTCTTCTTACACAGTGTGAAGGGCCAAGCCTGTGACCATGCTGCTTATTTTCCGCACTGTAGCTGACATAGCCTTGCAGCCTAAACCCGGATGTATTGGCCTAACAGCCTGGCAATTATGGGTTGTATTTTAGAATGTCTTTGGATTTTATTTTGGCTAACTAGGGTGCCTATACCATTGACAATACTTCATGTTTTATCTTCACAGGGGAAGTTGACCTGGATCTCAGCAAAAGAAATAGGCAGCCTGGATGGGAAGTAGATGGTTGTGTTTAGATGTCTAGACAAAACCCCTTTTCTTTTATTCTGTAGAGAATCTCCTTTTATAGTCCAGGCTGGCCTACAACTCCCCAACCTCTCACCTCAGCTTCTTTATTGCTGTTTGCAGGTTTTCTGATTCTTCTTAAGATACGTAAATCATGGCTTGTTTCCTGAGACTGAGTATGTGCTTGTGTAGAGGCAAATGCTCCTTCAGCACCTCTGGTCCAACACATGGCACAACAAGAGATTAAAAAACAAAGTCGAGAGGGAACTAAGGCGCTTGGGTCTCAGCCTGGAAACTCCATCTTTGCGATGGAAAGATGAAACTGTTTTTAAGGACAGCTGGCGACAGTGCTGAAGATTGGACATGCTTGGAGAGTCTTCTTACAGCTATGATTGAGGGAGGTAGGGGAGGTGAGACACAAGGGGAATAAGGCACCCACAAATCCTAGTAAAGACCCATTTCCCTGTGAACATGGTGCCAGCTTGTCATGAGTCATCAATTAATGAAACGGCCACTGGGCCTTCTGCATACTGGTGTCACCTCACATAGACAGTCCCAGATGCCCAAGCGCCTCTTGCCTCTGGAATCTGTAGCCTTAGTGTACCCTTAGCTCTGGCCCTTAAGCTCTGCCCTGGGGTGCACACACAGCTCTCTACGTAACTGGGAACAAACTCCATTTCTTTTTCACACATTGAACAGGAATTTCTCCTCCAAAATAGTTTATGCATATATAAGAAAAATACAATACTCCGGCTCCCTCTCTCTCAGACGCTGGCTTACGGCTCATTGCATTGGCACCTTGTCCTTTGCAGTTGGAAATTGTCCTTGACGACCACAACTGTTGCCACTGGGAGCTTTGAGTGGAGGTTACTCCAGCTGCCGGCTGCGGGGCTCTCCATGTCTTTCCTGGGCAGTCTTGATGACGGAGCTGGAGCTGCCTATTCCTCTTCAGAATTTCAGGGAAACAAGCGATGCACTTGCCAGAATGTTATTTGGAAAATAATTTGTTTTCTGTAGCAGGGTCTTATGTAGACCAGTCTGGCCTTGAACTCTCTCTATACCCAGACATGACCTTGAATTTCTGATCCTCTTGCTTCTACCACCCAAGTGCTGGGATTGTAGGTGGGCACCACCATTCCTAGAGTACGTAGTACTTGGGAAGGAGCCCAGGGCTTCATGTAGGCCAAGTAAGCACTCTAACAATGCGCTAATCCCCAACACAAACGTGTAGCTTCTCATAACTTAGTGTTTTGTCTATAGAATGGGAAACACTGTCTGCAACAAAGGGCTGTGAGGATGAAGGGTGTTGGAAAATGCCGAGCTTTCTGGCACACTGTGAAGCTTGGGAGTATAAAATGACAGCAGTGTTGAGGGCACAGGACGGTGAAGGCATTCATGCAGTACTACGACCTGCCTCTAGATGGGGGCAGGAGTCAAATAGAGGCCCCTGGATTGTCCCCAGAAAACTGTGAGCTTCAGGTCTCTGAGGACACCAGAACACGCTGACCAGATAAGCCCAGGTCACTGAAGTGAAGCAGGCAAGATTCTGGAGGAGTCATTTAGGGTCAACCAGCTCTGGTGGGCACGTGGCACCAGAGAGAGAAACAGAGGGAGGGCCTCCAGGAGGAGTGGTGTCTGCGGCTGGGGGACAAATGAGGGGCATCCACAAGTGTGCGGGCACTGCCAACCCTTTAGTGCAGAAAGGTCACCCTTCGCGGGTTGTTTCTAGGTCTCACCTGTGAGCCTTACTTACTCACTTGCTGCTGGCAGAGAGGACAGGAGGCTGTGATGTCATAGAACTAGGAACCAAGGAATGTTGGTGACAGGGTTCTGGACTGGACCATAAGGCGAGGAGGAGAGAGACGATTGCTTCTGTTGACCCTCCCTATAGTGGTCCATCCCTCTCTCCATGATGCCAAGCTTTCCACCATTGCTGTTCCTCAGGGCACCAGACAACTTGTCTCTGTGGAATACTTTGAGGGTGTCCTGCCAGAAGGGGGCACTACAGCACTAACTGCAGAAGGCCTGGGACAAAGTCTGTCACCTGATGCCTCGGGCTAGTAACCTCAGGCAGATGAACTGCAGGCCTCAGATTCTCCTTCTGCAAAATAGGAATAATAGTTATGTGTTCTCTCTATATTTTCAAGATGAAATGACCAGCGTGATGAACATTGGGAAGCTGCCTAGATCCTGTAGCAACTACTCCATGGAAGGGGGGTGGTGACAACATGTGTAAAAGTAAATGACATTTCTATCTTCCAGAAAAAGGGGAATTGATTCCTAGTGGATTCCTGCAAAATTTCTCACCCTGTAGGGTGGGCTTTCAGTTCCCCCACTTGGTACATCTTGGTGCTATTTAGGGAAGTCACATTAGGTTCAAACCCTCTATCAGTGTAGTCTTTGGTTGCACGTCGAGGTCATAGTACAGCGGAAGGAGAAGAAAACAAGGCAGTGTTAGGACTGTGTGCTGTGGGGGTGGTGATCAACAGCCTTTAAAAGCAGTCGCGGCCAACAACACCGCGCAGCGGCAGCACTAAAGCGGTCTCAAGCCTGGCTGCCAGTCAGGTTCACTTGTACCACTGGGGAAACGTGAACTGCCTGGGGTTCTTTCCCAGAAAAGCCAGATTCCTGGGGTTCTAGAGAGCAGGCATTAGCATGGCTTCAAAGTTTTCTTGGTGATCTCTGTGTGTAATCAAGAGCTAAATTGGGTCTGGGGAGATGGCTCAGTTGATAAAGTACATGTTATGCAACCAGAACCCAGCCAGGAACACCTGGGTTCAATTCCCAGAACTTATGAATAATGCTGGTGTATGTATAACCATCCAAAATACATAAATATGATTTACTGAGCCTGTTTTCTGCTGTTTTTGTACATATGGTTTTAGGACTGACCTCATGGTATTGGATAAGCAATTAGGGATTCATCCCTTGGGGGAGTTAATTCTCCCTCATCAGTCATTAGTTGCCTCAAAAAAAACACAACTTGGTATTGGACCTTATTGTTCTTTTTTAAAAATAATGATGGTGGGATGGCCCCGGGCGGCTCACGGAGCAGCTTCTAGTCTCCAGGGTGGCAGCGCCATGCGGCCGGGGGAGTCAGGCGGGCGGTTACAGCGGATAAAAGGCTCACAAGACATAGTAAATAAACATAAGGGTAAACATTTATTACTTAAAAGGAAATAGAAAAACAGAGAGACAGAGATAGACAAATATAAAGACATAAAGACACAGAGACAGAGAGAAAAGTGTGCACACGACAGGAGACAACCACACAAGAGAGAGAGAAAGATGGCGAAGGGGGAGGTCAAAAGTGGCTGGGGTGGGCGTGGTTAGTTCTTAAAGTGTCCCAAAGGAATAACATTCCTGGATCCTTTTTATAATAAAAAGTAGAAGGTTAGACATTACAGTTTGAAGGAATTGGGGCGGCGAATTCTCAAGGCTGCTTCCGGCTGATTCATGGGCATCGTCTTTGGGGGGGTGTAAGGGAGATCCGAGAGAAGCTGGGTGCTGGTCACATTTTGGCATAGCTGGTTTCTGCTCCCGACAGGTGTCTGTGGCATGGAAATGTTTGGTGTCCCTTGTACCTGGTTAGGGTGTTGGCAGAACAGAGGACAAAGTTAAATTGAGAAAAAATTTTTAGGACCAGGGAATTGAGAGGTTTGTATCTGACCTGTTTATGATGGGTTCTTTAATTTGGCTCCCTGGAACTTATAAGAAAAACAGAAGTTTTAGACATATACATTGTATTAAGAACTCCTTGGGTTTGTAAAAACAGAAATTATAATGAAAAGTATTTTTATTTGGTGAGACAACCTGGCAAAACCTCTTAGCTATCAGACTGTCAGAGATCTTTGAGAAGGATAAGATTTTACTTGAGTTACTGATTAAACAATGATAAAGAACTTACTTGGTTGGCATCTAGAGCTACTCTTTGGTCCTCCCTGGTCGCTGAAGGTTGCATTTGACCTTTGTTGTTTAATGTAGAGCCTGCCAGGCTTTTGAAGACCCTGTGGACTAAGAAATCTTTAGGAAGACAGGCCTACCTTGACCCTGGGCAGCTAGACTGTCGATTCCAGTGATTTTGTCCATGTTTGGAGGTCTCCAGTTTAGGTGATAGGCAGTTTTTGCCCAATGGTCAGCGCTTGGTAGTCGAAGCAAACTGCAGATGGATGGTGGTCAGTGACGTGACCGTCTGTCTTCTGTCTTCTTGGAGGAAACAGAGTGCTTGCTAGGAGCCAACCTGTCTCTTTTTGTTATGAAAAGTTTTTTAAATAATTAAACATTTTAATATCGCATTCCCCAGATCTCTGAGCAGTTGAGGGCTGATTATTAGGTACAGCTGCAGTAATTTGTCTGGAAGGTTAGGTTTGAGTTTGACTGTACTGACTCTTAACAGGTAAGATCCACATTTGTAAAAAGACAGACAAAAAGAAAAAAAACTGTAACATTAAGATTAGTGGCAGAACTGACAATGGTAGAAAACAGCTTAAAAGTACATACCAGTTTAAAATATGAGACTTATGATTTTGTAGTCTGAAACGAGATGAAATGAACAATCATTATATACAGAGAGATTGAACAGGAATTGGGCAGAATGCATGCTTTTGATGGGCCCTATCAGAAAGCATGTCACTATGCACAACACCTGTAATCACAGCTAAGGAGAGGATTTCAGTGAACACTGAGGAGGGGGAGGGGAAAGCAGGACATACAGAACAGTGGGAGGGCCTGGTCGCGTGATCTGGCTCTCAGTGAATCTAGTGATAAAGTCACCTGACCCCAATGAACATGGCGGCGCCCACGTGTTGTGGGGAAAGTTACAGTTTTTGAGCAGTTGTTGAGCTGCCACGCCGAACCATAAGCCGCAGAGGGGAGCAAAAGTCTGGAACCGAAAAAAAAACTGCACTAGGTCATGGCTGGGATGGAAAAGCCCGCGACTGTCTGCCATGGACGATTGTTATCCAGAGTCTGAATTGTGAAAACCCGCGCAACGAACAAGCGCCCAGGACCACGTGAATGAGCGTCCTCAATTCACAAGTGGGGAGCTATGGGCCTAGCTGGATAAACCAGAGGCCGGGGCCGCACTAAATTACAACATGGGAGTCATGTGACACACCTATGTGGTGGCTTTCAACTTCAGATCATTTCTTAAACCCTCAGAGAAGCTTTAGAAAATGCTAATTCTTGAACCCAGCTCAGTAAAGTCACTATTGGGGTGTGTGTGTGTGTGTGTGTGTGTGTGTGTGTTCATGCACGCACTCAGACATGCGTGTAAGGGTGGAGTGGAATCCAGGCACTACTAGGCTTAAAAATTTTTCAGACTACATTGAAAGCTT